AGGGGTTTTTGTCTAGGACCGAGTCATTGTTTTAGCGTTTAATATTCGCATAGATAATCCATTTTTCATCACCGGTGACAATTCTCTCCAAATATGGTTCAAGCGCATTACGCGCCAGAAGAGACGAAGCAACGTTCACACGTTGGAAACAATGATCGTTCGTGAGGCACCCAAACACCTTTTTTAAGGAGTTTTTCCATGTTCCTTAGATGTTTGCGTATTGTTTCATGAAAGACATGCAATTTTATGACCATTTCACGAGTGTGTTGCCTTGGGTTAGATTCAACAAGCGTCTTCAGAGCATCAATATCAATTCCAACATGCCGGCCCCTGCCATCACAGTTTTTAAGGCTAAAGTCACCTGAATGAAATTTACTTAACTAGCGTTCAAAACATTTCCATAAACTTCTTTGATATTCTTTATGGCTACAGAGGCGTTGTTTCCATTCTTGTATTCAAACAGCACTACATGCCGAATGTGTTTCTCGTCGTGTGCCATCACTATAAGGGATTAGAGTGTACTAAACTTTAAGCATTATATATGCTCCACAAACGTGACGTTTAGGCGGTTCGTTTAACTGTTATACGTGATGTACGTTTTTCGGGGGATGGTTAATGAAAGTGTTCCAAAACGCGACATTAATTTCTTGACGACCTGATACATGTAAAGACTGTTGTAATATTTACATTGGAGAAACCGGTCGACAAGTGTGTACACGATTAAAAGAACATTAAATTCCACTTCCCTTGTGCTTGATAACTTGGAGGTCCATCATTCAATTTTATCCACCTGACGATGCTAGGTAAACCTAGCGAAACGTATTACTTGTTTTATCCGTAAACAAAACTTTAATTTTCATGTTACAAGTTCTTCCTTTATTTCAATAATATTACTAAAGGTTTGATAATTATTACAGATTAATGGTATCAACACGCAAGGTGAAAACATTGCAGATAATGGAGGACTGAAACAAGCTTATCGAGTAAGTAGAGGCAGGATTTCATAAAATATGGTCAATGTGAAATGAAACTAAAGCCCAATGTTTGTTACGTTTTAGTGGATGAATTTTGTGATATAATATAACTGCTAATATATGGAACTGTAGTTTCTAACATCGATGCTAAGTTCAGATAATCAAAGTGAAGATTGTAAGTCATGTACGCTGGTTGAGCTGAGTACAGTGTCTCTTTACTTCTAGGCTTACAAGTCTTGGGTTAAAGATAACGGTCCCGAGCTTCCTCTGATTGGTTTGAAGTACAGTCCCGAACAGCTGTTTTGGATAAGTGCAGCTAATGTGAGAGACTTACATTTAATGTATTCAGTATTATCATTACAGTACAAGCTTTTATTTATTTATTGTATTATCATTTGTATTATCCTTAAAGTACAGACTTTTATTTATTTATTCTTGCAGCACAGATATTTACTTAATCATTTATTTTAATGTAAATAGTATTCCTCTTATAGTGCAGACTATTGATGTAAGACATGACCCCAAACGCTATCTTAATTTAATGTTTTTATACGTTTTAACTGATAGAATAATTCATGTATGTCCTAAATATTACATTTTTAGGAAAATACTGATATGAACATCGACTGTTCATATTATCATAAGTCATATTCTGTGTTTTTAACATCTTGTAAGAAAGAATTTGTATTTTAAGAAGGGTGTGACATCCTTTAAAATCCAGAGGTTGCAGGCAACAGATAATAATAATATCGAAAAACCTAAGTGACTGTCGTAACTTTAGGTTAATTTGAAAAATTTGTGAACTTGACTGTAAATGTAAAGTTTATACATAGGTGTGGTGTGGTAAATATCGGCCTGAAGTTCTGAAACTGAGGATACTTTCTGGTTGGCACAGTCCAGCTCAGTTTAGGTATGTTGAGTCTCATCTTTTCTAATAGAAGTAATTATTTGTCTACGATAGTGACGCCTATTAAAATACTAATATTCAATGCAATATTAAAGTATATTACTTAAAGGTTTTTCATGCATATTTCCATTCTTTACGTGTTTACAGTGGACGTTAGCTTTTATGTGTCTGTTAAAGAAACAAGTTTTTCTCTACAATTTCGTTAAATTATAGCTACTTATGGACTCGAATATGATAAAAATGCAGATATTTTAACTAAATAAAATATTGTTAGTCATATCCTCGAAGTATATACCATGATGAAGATGGCGCAGCTTGGAAGTTTTGTCGTAACTTGGTATGGTATATCCTACCAGGTGGTGCTATCTACCGATGTTTGAAACGTTTTAATCTCTAGGCTTACCTTATGCATATTTCATTCTCTGAGTTATTTATTTCTAATTCTATATTAATCTTACATCATAGTACTTCGTAGTCCTCAAGTTTTAACCACAAAACTTAATTTCCTTAAAATATCCTCCGCTCTCGCTTCCACGTGGATTTGATTTTCTATTTGGCTTAATCTATTTTACTGTCACACACCTCATTACAAAAACTAATTATTATTTATACCGTTGCAAAATGCAAAGTCCCATGCTATCACAGAGAGCCAATCATTAATCATAGCTAATCCTGGTATATAACACCTCATGCGTGTAATCTACATCACTCAAAGACTGATGGTAATTTTTTACAAATCATTCTTTACTGGCTTTTTACTACGAATTTTCAATAAGAAAGATCATATTAGCATCTCGATGGCCCGTTATCAACGAGACCCCCCCCTCCCCCCTGCCCCTCGGTACCAGGTCAACTGGATATGCGACATAAAATGTTAGTAATTTACAAGACGTCAAATATCTTGGAATATAACGCCCTTTGTTGGTAAAACATGATTTACTGATTAATAGCTTATGTGACAATAAGTTTATGTCACAATAAGACTGACAGTAATCGTTACAAATCTTCTTTACTAGCCTTATGCATATAGTTTCCAGTAAAAAAAACACAATAACACCTAGATTGCAAAATTAGAAAATATAATTTCTAAATTATTTTTGAGTAAACAAATCGTTGAAATAGAGAGAGGATTATCATTTGTACTTATTTTGGAATATTATATGCAAGTGTGCAGTCAACACCAGAGAGCTAGTCACAGATAGTGATAGACTTAATGTGGCTGGTTATTTTGAGTTGTCTGTCAAAGTTTACCTCCAGACACTTCAGTGTTTCATCTAGAAGGACAGTAATGTCTACAAAGGATTGTCCCCATCATCATGTCAGTTGTTGAGTGTAAAGAACGTAACTGTGGCTTTGGCAGGATTGATTAACATTCCTGTCTAATTGCACCATTTTCTTACCCTGTTAAGGAATGATTACATCATTTTCCTACCCTGCTAAGGAATGATTACACCATTTTCTTACCCTGTTAAGAAATGGTTGCATCATTTTCTTACCTTGCTAAGGAATGATTACACCATTTTCTTACCTTGTTAAGAAATGGTTGCATCATTTTCTTACCTTGCTAAAGAATGGTTATATCTTGATCGTGATTTCAGATTTGCTCGAGTCTCTGCTGTCCACTAGAATATCGTCAGCAAAGGTTAGCACATAGCATCTAATTGAATAGTTAAAGCCAGCTATATTTTGGTGTAAGTATTGAAAAGAACAGGCAAAAATGATGTTCTTTGATATAGACTAGTATTGATAATGACCCAGTGTGATTGCCAGCTTCGGTGCTTTTGACGCATCTTTTGGTAGTTAGTGCATTTATGACCCATTTTACACAAGGACATGACAGACTTTGTCAGATTATTTTACAGAGGAAATTACACAACAGGGCTATTGTGAAGATGCATGGTCATTAAATAGAGAATGACGAGGTGTGATGATACAAACTTAAACAACGTGGTGAGGCTCCAAAACAATTTTTGGATATGATGTGCAACCTGCATAGTTATGATTCTGATAAGCTCTGGTGTAGCTTGAGATTATTTTACATGTCTCCATGGTCACATTGATTAATGTATCTGTACATGAAGGCCTTGTCTTGATCTTCTTCCGTCATCATGGTGAATGTCTGACATTGTTATTGTATTTGTTTCCGCGCTTGTTAAAGCATCAGAATGAAGTGTTTGTGAAATTGTTCTTGCTGTACAAATAATCCCGTTTGATGTATTGTGCTGTTCTATATATTTATTGCCTTCCATGTCCAGACTGGATCATACTTTGCGTGCATGACCTCAGGCTGGAAGTAATTGCACAGTTTCCAGGCCTTATCATTTATTTCTTACTCTTTATTTCACCCGCCCTTTTCTCCCCTATATCTTCTGCTTTGTGGGGCATAGCCAGTTCTTAACTTCCCTAATGTTAGGAGCCTGTAAGAATCTGGGTGCTTTGCTCCCGGAACATGCTGGGGCCCTCAGCTGGACCCAAAACCAGAAAGGTAAGTTCTTATGATCTAGAAATTCTAGATGATTAATTAAATTCAAAGTACTTGTGCAGAAATTAGTGTATAGCATTGAAGGTCCGCCTTTCTTCATGTTTGAAAAGGATAAATTTTGTTATTTTTTTTTAAACTTTGGCAGGAATCATTTTGTTCACTTCTCCTTCTGAAACCAGAAACAGTATATAGTTCGAGTGAGTGCATTTAATAAATTCAGGATTCTTCTTTGCAACTAGTTAATGCACTGATTAGAAATCTTTAGTTATGCAAAATATTATTTTTATTAATTCATTCATATTTACAGAATCATTGGGTCCTTTTCCAACCTGGAAGACTTCGCCAAAAGCTTTAATTGTTCGATCAACTCTCACATGAACCCTCAGAAGAAATGTACGATTTGGTGATGCTAGCGCCATCTTGCCCGTTACAGATGCAATGGCTTCTGTAGTTAATTGTTTTTTTTTTTCTGATTTAAAAGTTTCAACAAAAAATTGAAACTCGAAATACACATTTAGATGAAAATTATTTTGGAAATTTGCTTTTAGAACTTACTGTAATTGATAAATTAAAATGTTTAATATTTATACGTTTATCATATTGTTATAGTAATTTGTGTTCAAGACTTTTAACGTTTCAAACACTACAGGCAACACTAAATGAATTGTTGTTATACAGTGTTGAAGATATTGTTTTAATTTTAAATGGAACTATTGATTTGGATCATTTATTTAAGTTTGTATTTTGAAAATAGCTAAGAGTTGTAAGAAAATCTGAAATATAGCCTAGATTTTTAGACTTTTTAAAGAAAACAATGAAAAGTTTCTTTGACAGTGCAACATATTATAAATATAATACTCACATTTGTAATATGTGAAGATATGTATTTACTAGTAGGTCCGTTTGTATTTGCATGTCATATTTTTGGTTTCGGTTGTATAATACTTTTGTAGTTCTTTTGTTTTGTAAGAATTTTCACGCCATCTTTGTCGTAAGAAAGAACGTAAGTTAGTCTTTATTAAGAACTGTAAACTTAGTAGGATATAGTGCACATGTATTTTGACCGTCACGTGACATTCACTTAACCTTAGTGGTTGTATTTCATTCATGTTGACTTCTATTTTGTATCTAAATTAGTATCTTACACTTAATTCTTTTACTGTTTCTATATTCGAAATTAAATAAAAAAAAAAGAAAGAAACCAGCTGATGAGATTCTGAATGTCATTCGTGCTAAAACATAACTTTGTAAAGTCAAATTCGAGACTGCAGTCTTATCGATAAATATTGTTTAATTGTAGCAGTTTGCAGCAAGTTTCATGTGACAATATCATATAATGTAGTAGAGAAAATGTTCAAGTATATTTAACAAAAGTTGTTTATGGTGTACTTTTGGTGTGGAATTAAAATCTTACTGTTGAAAATCAATTGTAGAGAGCTCAATCAAATGTTGTACTAATTACTTTTATTGTGAATGTTGGAAATCAAAGCATTTTTAAATATTATTGTTAGTTTGATATTCATGTACGCCTGGAAGGTTGAATTTCTTGCATATGAAACTCAAGTTTTCACTTTTACTATTTTACTTCAATTATAAATATTTAAGTTTGTCTGATAACAATAAGTGAATGTTTATTTCAAACTATCCAGGACTAACATATTTTTAAATAAATATATTACAACTTCCACCGTAATATATGTATGTAATCTCTTTGTCTCGAAGATTACAGTATGGTGCAAGTATCTTTACAACCTCGGAGTAAGTTTTGCTTTATTTTACAAGTGTATATTATCAATCTTACTTGGTGTTTGGTCGACTCCGGCTCCTCATGACATTTACGTATACTCATGTTTATCTTGTATTGGCGTATTGTGTAAGAAAGGAAGATTAATAAAAATGTTATATTAAAATACCATAAAAATTGTTTATATGTATACTAGTCACTGTAAGTAGTTTTATCAGCATGCAATATATAACCTGAGAAGAAACTAGATGAAAACGTTTTACATGCACCATATATGCAATCTGGAACGAGGAAACGGTTAGTAGTTTCAGTCAAAAGTAAGGTCCAAGTATTGTTGAAGATCACGACTTAAATGTAAACAATTCTTTTTTTTTATTCGGTTTCATATAGATAAATAAAGTAATGAAATGCAGTCCAAAGCCTTTCTTCAATTATTGAACACTTCCTATACATCGGGACAGCTCTAAATGATTATCTTATACGTAGCTAGTTTAAGTTTGACGAAGAACAAATGATCTGAAACTACAAAGAAATAGTTAAAATCAATCTGAACATATGTGTGTTATGGTAATGATAGAAGGGCGAAGGCTTAATTCTTACAACCCTTATTATACCGTTCTTTTTGGGATTACCCTCATTATACAACAGTTTTTACTGTGAGAGTCTTTCACTAATATATTTAGTCAATGTTATACCGCCTCCCTCAACATGCTTTCCAAAGTCTATCAACATGCACAGATGACGACTTCCGAGGGTCATTTTGGACAATCTAAAGGCACAGAAGTCCATCGGAGATATCTGCCAATGGTATGTGTTGAACTCCCATTTGTATTTACTTCTTGCGGATGGTATACTGGCATGCTGATATGGCTGCTGTATCTTGATGAGGCCCTGCCAATCCGTACCATAGATGCTGTATCTTGATCAGGCCACGCCAATCCGTACCATGGATGCTGTATCGTGATGAGGCCACGCCAATCCGTACCATGGATGCTGTATCTTGATGAGGCCACGCCAATCCGTACCATGGATGCTGTATCTTGATGAGGCCACGCCAATCCGTACCATGGATACTGTATATTGATTAGGCCACGCCAATCCGTACCATGGATGCTGTATCTTGATGAGGCCACGCCAATCCGTACCATGATATTTTCTCGCCTTATAGAGGTGTCAGCACGTTACCGTGATATTATGCAGGGTTTACTTTTACATTTTCATCGAATCGTCGTAAGTTTAACTTGTCATTATAGCTTCAACCAACAAGTTTAACTTGCCATTACAGCTTCAACCTCGAAAATACTTTTGTGATAAACACTGTGCCAATTTTTTCTGACTTTGTTGTAGTCACTTACGTCAAGTGTGGTGATCTATTTCCACAAGTCACGTGCTAAATACATTTCACATACCTTTCAGCAGTTGATATTCTGTATGTGTGACCTAACCTGTTTGAGATTCTAATGGAGTTTTTATTTTAGCTGAAATTCTTGAGTTACTTTAGACACAAAATATACAAAAGCAAAACAAGACAGAAAACAATAAATGATAAAAATACTCAAATGAGTTTACAAAAATATAGTGAAAAGTTAAATATAGAGTAAAGAGTCGCCAATAACGTTTAAATGTCATGTTGTTTAGTTTTTAAATATTTTATTTCATAAAGATAATTTCTTTAACCAATAATTTCATGTCAGAATACCTAGTTGTCAAGATTTTGAAGTTATTTTTAAGAAAAGGTAATATGTGTTTTCCCAGTCCGACGGATTGGAGGGTCACTAGGGTTAGATAACTTTCTCTCCAGTTATCAAGTAAAATCCGTTATGTTTGTGGATTCTAACATTAAAGTAGAGTTTTAGTAGATTAGTCTGACAGCTGTCACAATATAACCATCAACAAGTAATGATGTAAAGACAGTCTTTAAAAAAAAAAAATGTTAGTCGAAAAGATGATCTAAATATGATTATAAACTTAACTTTCGGATAAATGATTAATTAAGTTGCAAAGTTTGACTCACTTTGTTTACTATAGGGAGAAAGAGTTAGTGTAACCTCAAACAGGGGTGACTGTTCACTGTTGAGAAAGTTACGGGTTATTTTTTATAACATATTATCAGGAGAAAGGTTTTCATTGATGCATTTTGTAGATATTAAGTAAGTAAGGACTGATAGTTTCGACAGGTTTTATAGACTGGGTCTAATAGACAAAAGACGATATACCCTTTCGAAGCGTGAAGGTAAGCGAGCCATGCCGTGAAAATCTCTTTGTCGTGGAGATAGATAAGTAGCTTAGGTCATGATGAGAATGTCTAATAAAAAAAAGGTTTTGTTTGATTGGTTACTTCTTTTGAGCAAAGCAAACCCCGGATTTTAGCATTGTAAACCCGTTGTAAGTAGACTTACCGCTGTCCCACCGGAGGAAAAAAAAAAGCAAGTGTGGTTTTATTCAAGTTCATAAGTGAGATTTGATAAAAGAGTGTTAGGAATTTAGATAGTCTAGAAAGAAAGTAAAAATTACCATCATACTGCTTATACAGAGTAGATGGAAGGTTTGAAATCGACAGGATATACATCCTGCAACTTGGGTTCAAAGTGGCACAGAAGGGTTAACTAAAGTCGAGACGATCGGTGACACAAAGCAACGTCATCTATCTGGCTATACGAGTGCACATTGAAAAGAAAATGTGTGTGTAACGGCAAGTTCAAGTGGCCATAAAGTAGTCATAGTGAAAGATAAAGACTCAATTTCTTGAGAAAATTCAACAGAGTCGTTAGAAGTAAGTTCATTGAATGTAAGAGATTTAAGTAGTTAAACGAGAAATTTCACAAGATTATAGGAGTAAGAACCAACAGAAGACAGCATAGGACGCGAGAGGATGTTAGTTTTATATGCTTTAAAGAGACCTAAGGGAATCTTATGTCAAGAACCACATCACCAGTCTGTAAGGCAGTGCCTTTCTTTCTTTGTTCAAATTTGCTCGATTTTTCTTCTCGACGGGTAGTAAAGGTGAGCCAGTTGCAGTTGTGATGGATTTGAACTTCGTGGTATTCTTAAGAATAGTAGTCATTTTGTAAAAATACTTTTTTTTCTGAAATATCAGTACAATAACCTTTTCAGGTTTTGTGATAATAAGGTTAAAATGTATTTCAGGGCAGTACTTTCATCAGAGAAGAGAGAAGAAGTTTTGAAGATACTAAAGTTGCAAAAACAAATAAAGATCAAAGTTTTATTTTCTTTTCTTTTTTTTTGAAGTAAGGTTTTATTAGAAGTGCAGGCTTTGATGATCAGTTTGATAAATATGGGAAAGATATCTAGGATCTGAGGGTCACTGCAGAAGGTCACAGGTGGTCAGCATACTTGAGTTTTTAGCAAGAATATACTTACATGTGCTGCTTAGCTGAACATTAGTTGAACCTCTGTATGTTAGAATCAGGGTTTTCGGAGAGATTCATGTTGGAGATTCTTGTATCGTTGAATCGGACAACCCCCCCCCCCTTTTTTTTCACAGGACAGATGCTATGCCCTGGCTGTGGAATGAAACATAGTAGTTGTAAACAAGAAACGGTGTGATATTTGAAAATCAACAGTTGTGGATGTTTGGTTGTTCTGTGCTCTTTTGTTTGAAATACAGGTTGTATGGAGATGTGTGTTTGAGGGGAGCGCTTGTAATTGTATGTAGTGTAGCTGTAAGTTTGTTTCTTTTTTTCCGCTTTATTTTAGTACTAGCGAAAGTACCCGGCTTCGCTCGGGTTATTAGGTTGATTTATTCTAGATGACTATGTCAGTATGTGTATTCTGAACCCAGTTTAGCATAAAAGTATAATCTATATACTTTTGTTGCTCTTTTACGAGATGTGGCCTGTTTATAAAGGTAACCTTCCCTCTGACTTGTCCTCCTATTTTAAATTTAAATAATAAAATCAAATACTAACGAAACAAACCTCTAAATTATAAAACTTTTTTTTCAATTTTTTACTATTTATATTTCATTTAATACTTTCAGTATATAGCATCTTAACAACAATATTAGCTTATACTTTCATTGCTAAGCAACATGATATGAAAGCCATTGTTTGAACGCATCGTTACCAAAATTCACTGGCTTTTCTATATATTAGAAGTTGTTAAAAATAACTGTGAAGCTGCTAAACATGGACTACATGATCTGTGTCACTGGAATTTTTTTTTATGAAGTAACATCTGGCAGATGTTCATATATAGATGTTACATATGTAGGAGAAATAAGCCTACACGTACATGATAGGATATCTGAACATGTACGTGACATTCAAAACATCAGTACTAACAATTCTATTGGCGAATATTATAGAAAAAACATGACCTATCACAAGCAGACAACATCTTATTGGATGTCAAGATCTTAGCTAAATGTCATATTTTTCTTGACAGAACAATTAAGGAATCCGTTTAAATCAAGAAAGATAAACTTAAGATGAACAAATATAAAAGTTGACCTCTAGCGTAGGGATGTTAATAGCATTCTTAAGAATTTAGTATGTTTGAACTTTGAAACAGTCTCTATACATTTTCATAATGGTTAAAATATACTTTTCGACATTACTACATGTATGTATTGATATAATAGAATGAAATAATACTTATAGATACAAGTATGAAGAGGTATTTTATATACATCTATATACTACTAAAACTCTGAGATTGTTTGTGTGTGTGCTTGTCTGTAATTAAATACAGCATAAACGGCGCACAATACCGCCATATTTGTAATGAAATGAAAATAGAAACAGAATAAAATAAGTTTCGTTAAAATCGAGCCATAGATTACCGAGTTAACCCCGTTTTTCGGGTCACTTTTATGAAAATGTCCAGATGAATGTAGGTGCACTAGATGGCGCCACGTATCGGCTTATCTATCTATATATCTATTTGTTTTTTCACCTGATGAATCCTTTTAAAATATCTTCTATACAACAATATATGCACAACAGAAATTAAATGATGAGATGAAAATGTGTTATAACGGCGCGTAGAAAGAACAACAATAAAATGGACCTACAACATTATTGACTATTTGCAAGTAGTAACTATGGAGCGAGGTAATAAACTAAAAAATCAAGTCGACAACAACAAAAAAATTTTATAAACGAAAACCTCTCGCCGAGCATTGGCTATTATATTATTTCCCTGTCAATATTCCCATTTTCATTAAAAGGCGTAATCTATCTATATACTACTATATACTATATATACTAAAATACTATATATATACTATATACTACTAAAACTCTGATATTGTCTGTTTGCTTATTTTCTAAGTCAAAAAATCATTCAAACTACCGTTCGCACTCTTTACGTAACTTCTTACTTCACTTTTTTGAAAAACGAAATGGTCTTTCCTTTTACTCAAATAACTTTTCTAGAATTATGAATAACACGAATGGATTGAAATATTTAATTAAATAAACCTTCATTTCGGTGCAATATTGAAATTAGCTTGAATTATTCATAACCTCTGAATAGTGGTTGACCCAACGGGCCATGGTGGTCTAGTAACATATACTATTCTAAATCCTATGATTTTAATTGTTTACCTGCTGATTTACACACATTACCTACTATTGTTGGTTCGGGTTGTTTCAACGATTTAAATCTACAAATTTATATTAAGGTAAATATCTAACCACCTATATCTCCGTGATGTATCTTTATTAACTCAATATTTCGCTATCACAGCTATGCCAAGAGCTATCGATATCTTACAAGCTCACTAATCAAGATGAAACTAAATTAGCTCATGAAGAAGATGTGATATTAAGGTAATAACAATGTGTTGTGGAGATAGAGATCGTTAGTTTCTTTACCTTACTAGAAATGTCTCGTAATAGACTTCAGTTCGGTTCAAACAAAATTAAGAATAGCAGTTATTGTTTGTACGATAACCAATCAAAAAGTACCACACCAGTTCAAATCCAGTAGAAACATATCCATAAAAATAAAGTCATCGTTCCTAGGGCTGAAATACTGCATAACAAATGTGTAGAAATCATAATGTTGATAATGGATTAAAACTAGAGGAATTACAAAGCCAGCGATGTGTGATCTTTACAAATCTACCCACTATTCTTCTTCATTGAACACTAATGCTGAAACAATAACTTCCACTCACCGTTGCTATCCAAATAACAATATTATTTAAAAAACTCTTTCTATTTAACATTCTTCTTCAAGTAAAAATAACGCTAAGACAATGATCTTAATAACCTGCACATTTTGTTTCACTCCAAGTTATTTAGAAAACAAAACGTACTCACCGATGTTGCATTAATTTTCGGCAATATATCTTACTTAGGTTTTGTTTATGTAGCACTAGAGTTAAGAAAATAATGTCTACGCATCGTTTTCTTACGAATAACATTTATACTTAGACAATAATCTCTCCTCTTTCTACAAGTAACGCAAATGATTGGACAATAACCTTTTTTTCCTCTGTTTCTCTTCAAGTAGTCCCCCCCGTGAGACAGCGGTAAGTCTACGAACTTAAAACTCTAAAATCCAGGATTAAATTCATCGCGGTGGACACAGCAGATAACACAGTGTAGGTTTGCTCTAAAACAAACAAACAAACAAAAACAAAACTCTCCAAGTAACACTAAAGTGTAAAATAATTATGTATATTCACCAATCCTTTCCATGAAACTCCAAATTAATTGTGTATATTCACCAATCCTTTCCATGAAACTCCAAAATAATTGTGTATATTCACCAATCCTTTCCATGAAACTCCACTTTTAAGACAGTAATGTCTACTTATCTCTACCCTCCAAATATCACAGTCTATTCTCACTATTTCTTCATAACTACGCCATTAAGACCATAATGTATACTCCCTCCCTTCCTTTTCAAGGAAAGTCGGTGTTTCTAAAAAAACGTCTACTACCTGTATTTTTCATGTAATCTATTATTATGAACGGGAAACAAAAATAATTGATAGACTCTGTAAAATCCAAAGGTTGTAAAATTGTGAACACAGTGTTTATTATGTGGTTGAAACGTCTGTTTTCTCCAAATTTCACTAACTTTATACGATTCTATATATTTCTTAAGTATAAGATGTTTCAAAAATTACCGCTATGTTCCTTTGTCAAGACAATATTCGTGAGCAATCTTGTCAGAAAAAAATAATCATAAACTTGTACGCTTCTTATCCGGACAAAAGCCGGTGGTACAATAATCATAAACTTGTATGCTTCTTATCCGGACAAGAGCCGGTGGTACAATAATCATAAACTTGTATGCTTCTTATCTGGACAAGAACCGGTGGTACAATAATCATAATCTTGTATGCTTCTTATCCGGACGAGAGCCGGTGGTAAAATAATCATAAACTTGTATGCTTCTTATCCGGACGAGAGCCGGTGGTAAAATAATCATAAACTTGTATGCTTCTTATCCGGACGAGAGCCGGTGGTAAAATAACCATAAACTTGTATGCTTCTTATCCGGACGAGAGCCGGTGGTAAAATAATCATAAACTTGTATGCTTCTTATCCCGATAAGAGCCGGTAGTAATATCATCATAAACTTGTATGCTTCTTATCCCGATAAGAGCCGGTAGTAATATCATCATAAACTTGTATGCTTCTTATCCGGACGAGAGCCAGTGATAAAATAATTATAAACTTGTATGCTTCTTATCCGGACAAGAGCCGATGGTAAAATAATTATAAAGTTGTATGTTTCTTATCCGGACAAGATCCGGTGGTTAGCGTGCCAGAATGTGAACTCGATGGTCTATGGTTCGCCTCCCATTCCCACGTTATAAAGGTAACGATCAAAACCTACTATAGATTATTGTTGCCCAAGAGCTAGAAATGGGTACTGTTGACTAGCGTCATTCCTTGTAGATTCTAGTGTACTATTTCAAAATTAAGGACGACTAATGCAGATAACCCTTGTGTAGCTTTACGTGTATATCAGAACCAAACTCACAATAACTACTAACATAGAAATGATCTACGTCGCACTTGCAATATGGTTCCTTATTTTATGCCTTATGATGCTAGTTCATATAATACGTTGAAGTAAAAGTCAGCCACGTCGTGTAGTCTAATTTGGATTTAGAATGTGTTTTTTACCTTTTTTTATAGCTTTGATTTCATTACTGAACTGTTTAATTTAGTTGTTTAAAAATATCGTGAAACGCTTTCATTCCCTGGCTGAAACATTGGACTCGCTTTATTTCACATCTGGAAAGTGTGGAATAACTTAGTAGGTGGATGTGCTCCACGTACACATATGCGGATCAAAAGCGCGGTACTGCTGAAGAAACACTCACAGGTGTTATTTTTATTCAGCAGATGTAAGGCAGGCTATTTAGTTTCAGTATTGAACACTTGTAACTTACAAACAGGTCATGTTGCCCTATAACATCTACCTGTACTAAGCTTTTCTAACAAATTTTCTTGTGCGTTTCTCCTCTCATCTTTGTTTGATCGATATTTCTACCAGTAATATAATTTAAAAGGCTTAACGAAATTTTGGTGATCCAGTAAGGTTTGGAAGTGAGAAATGGACGAAAGAACTGAACTTGTTAGTAAGAGGTCAGACACGTCTTTCTTATAAATTTAACTTATTTTGTTTCGAGAAAAAATATTGTTTGAGTACAATTTCTTCAAATTAGATATACTTAACCAATAATCTTAGGATAAAATTCAAATTTGACATATTGAGTTTTTAAACAAGATAAAATGGTTAGAGGTTTCCTTTAATGTCATTAATCGTAAAATCATTTTATAATTAGATAAGTAAATACAACAAACAAACCTCGTTTTTACCCCATAGTTAAATGAGCAACCAAGATGGAATACAATCAAATATTGAATTTCACGTGTCTCTTACTTATATCTTCAATATAATAACAAAGTTAATTTGTTTTTAAACGTGTTATTTTTGAAACTAGTAAATCCAAAATAGGTCAAGTATTAGCCCTAGGTGGTATTCCATGGCACGATTCAGTCAATGATATTATCTGCTGTATCATTGGATAGTTGTGTTGTACCTAACTTCACCCTGAATGAAAAGTAACTTACAAGTGTTATATGAAGATATCTCTGAATTCTTGCAGTCTAACTTATGATTGGTTAGCTATAAAGATAATGTGAACTGTGGGCAAAAGTTGGAGCTTTCAGAACAATTTGTTCCAGTTTTCAGAGTCAAGATTGTCCCGTGTGTTGTGTCCTTCGTCCTTTCTTCTTCGTTCACTGACCATTTGTTTATTTTCATTTTGTCCGTTTATGAGAATAAAATATGTTTGATTTTGTGCAGTTTAGTCTAGACTCTTTCACTTTGCTAATAACAAGTTTATCACGTTTTCGTTCACAAATTAAATTCACAAACATCTCTCTACTGCTGGGCTCAAATGTCTCTGTGTGTACTATATTCTGAATCAGGGGAAAATACATTGTCATTTTCATCGAACTGTTCTGGCACCAATTCTGGTCAGAATTTATTCTCTGTGGAAGTAGATTGAATTGCTTTTTTTCACCTTCTCGTTATCATGTCTCTTTCATGCACTTATACAAGTTAGTTATCAAGAGATGCTTCTGTGTGGTAGGTATATATATATGTCATAGAGGAAAATACCGCTTTAGATATTTCTATAAAGTCAAAATCATAAAAGACGGAGCCGAGACCTGGTTGAACCCCGTATTGACAATATTAGTTAGTTTAAGACCGAGCCGATACCTTGTTGAACCCCGTATTGACAATATTAGTTACTTTAAGACCGAGCCGATACCTTGTTGAACCCCGTATTGACAATATTAGTTAGTTTAAGACCGAGCCGATACCTTGTTGAACCCCGTATTGACAATATTAGTTACTTTAAGACCGAGCCGATACCTTGTTGAACCCCGTATTGACAATATTAGTTACTTTAAGACCAAGCCGATACCTTGTTGAACCCCATATTGACAATATTAGTTACTTTAAGACCGAGCCGATACCTTGTTGAACCCCGTATTGACAATATTAGTTACTTTAAGACCGAGCCGATACCTTGTTGAACCCCGTATTGACAATATTAGTCACTTTTATGCAAATCGCGTGGAAAATATGACATTGATTTATTAAAATCAGATAAGATGGTATCCGTTTCACCGTGAACATGGTGAACTTTCATTGGATTAGCCAGAAGCTCTCGCTGGTATTCTTCATCGGGATAGAAATCCATGTGGATCTGGTAGGATCAGGTACAATTTTGACCTCTTCCTGATGCCTAGGTTTCACTGTTCAAATGTTGAACGTTACACAAAAGAGGGCGTTGATTTCACAAAAGTCAAGGTATGAATTCAAAACCCATATCACGGCCACGTCCATTTATGTACTACGTTTATCATTCACACTAATATATACTTCGCTACTCATAGTCCAATATATTCCAGTGTCTTTTCATTATGTAACCTATGTTATATGTATTTACATAAATAACCTTATAATAATGATAAATTAGGTAGATTTAGCAATAGGTAGCTGATTACTAAACATATAACACATAGTTATGGGTGAGAGGTACTTAAACTTATTTTCATCATGTATGATATAACGATCTAGTGTGTGTGTGTGTGTAATAATTCATTTTTATGTAAGCTTTTCTTGAAGTAGGTGAATGATCTGTTTGGAAGTCTATCGTAGTGTGGTTGGATGTTTGCGTAGTTATGTATAAAGCGAGAGTAAATATTGGGTTTTGTAATAGTTCCAGTTTAGTTGATATTTTATTTGGTGCTATATTTATCCATGCCGGACTGGCGTATTCGATCGCTGGTCTTATGTATTGTTTATATATTTTAAATATGTTGTGCCTGTATTATATCCAGTCAGACTTCTAACTTGGTTTATTCGTCTCCAGATTTTATTTGAAATTTCATTAATGTGCTTTTACCAAGTTAATTGTGTATCATACGTTAGACCAAGAAATTTTGCTGATGCTAGGAGAAGTGTTCCATGGAGATTTAGTTTCGGGTTGTTTTTGAGGAGTTTCTTTAATTTTGCAAGTAGGAGTATTTGAGTTTTTGGTATATCAATTTTGATTCTTTAATTTTGGTAGTATTCTGCCATTCCATTTAAAGAAGGTTGTATATTTGTGGCCGTGATTGATAGAGTTGGTGAACTCTCCCAGATGGCTACATCATCTACGAATTGTGAGGTGAAGAAAAAATTGGGATCGTCTAGAGGCATGTCTATTACAATCATGATGAAGAGTATTGGGCTAACTACCCCTCCTTGAGGAAGGCACTCGACTCGCAATCTGAGGGTCGCGGGTTCGAATCCCTGTCACACCAAACATGCTCGCCCTTTCAGCCTTGGGGGCGTTATAATGTGACGGTCAATCCCACTATTCGTTGGTAAAAGAGTAGCCCAAGAGTTGGCGGTGGGTGGTGATGACTAGCTGCCTTCCCTCTAGTCTTTCACTGCTAAATTAGGGACGGCTAGCGCAGATAGCCCTCGTGTAGCTTTGCGCGAAATTCAAAAACAAACAAACAAACAAACCCTCCTTGAGGAACACCTGCCCCAGGAGTAAAATACTCAGAGTAGAATAGATGTCCGCTACATTTTCTGTTATATAGGAAGTCTGGTAACCAGTGAATAATTCCTAGCAGTAGTTCCATCTGTAACATCCGGAACCTTAGATGCGAGTGCCAGATTGTATCTGAAGCCTTCTCTAGATAGAGCAGGCAGACAACTCTCTCTTTTATCAAAACTATCTTTATAGTTCCAGTTAGTCTGACTAAATGGTCTGTTGTTTGACGAAATCTTCTGAAACCGTTTTGTACATCCGGTAATTTTGAGTTGCTTTCCTGATAATTATTTAATCTATTCTTTATTATTCTTTCTAAAATGTCGCCTACGCAGATGGTGAGGTTGATTGGTCTGTAGCTCTGTGGTTTATTTGCTGGTTTCTCTTATTTTAACAGCATGAGAATATTCGCTTGCTTCCAAGAGCCGAGGATATACCCTGATGTCAGAGAGAGGTTGAAAAGTGTCATTAGATATTCAAGTAATAGCTGAGTACCGTTTTTGAGTAGACTTGCTTGTATTCTGTCTTCCCCTGGTGTCTTGTTTTTAGTATGTTTTATTGCTATGGAGATTTGGGTCATTTATGTTTTGTTTTTTGTCATGAATGTCTGAATTATTTGTGGTAGTATTGGAACCAAATATCTTTTCGCTAATGATATTATCATTACCATGTAATTTATGTCATTGTTAGGTTTTTGAATCTCTGCCATAAAGTCCATTATCGTATTTGTGATTGCTGTGATGATGGGTATGAATTTTTGTGTATTTGTAATGTTTGTTGTTTATCATTTAGATTTATTTGTTCAGTATTTGTATTGACTTTAACTTCCTTTCTAGTAGCTGTGCTTGCTTTGTTGGATTTGGCTGTTGTAGTGTATGTTTTGGTGTTTCTTGTTTGTGTGTTCTGTGTTTGTTGTGTTGGCTTTGACTGCTGTAGTGTATGTTTTGGTGTTTTTGTGTGTTCTGTGCTTGCTGTGTTGGCTTTGCTGTAGTGTATGTTTTGGTGTTTTTGTTTGTGTGTTCTGTGCTTACTGTGTTGGCTTTGCTGTAGTGTATGTTTGGTGTTCTGTGCTTGCTGTGTTGGCTTTGCTGTAGTGTATGTTTTGGTATTTCTTGGCTGTGTGTTCTGTGCTTGTTGTGTTGGATTTGGCTGTTGTAGTGTATGTTTTAGTTTCTTGTTTGTGTGTTCTGTGTTTGTTGTGTTGACTTTGACTGCTGTAATGTATGTTTTGATGTTTCATGGTTGTGTGTTCTGTGCTTGCTGTGTTGGCTTTGCTGTAGGGTATGTTTGGTGTTTCTTGTTTGTGTGTTCTGTGCTTGCTGTGTTGGCTTTGCTGTAGTGTATGTTTTGGTGTTTCTTGTTTGTGTGTTCTGTGCTTGTTGTGTTGGCTTTGACTGCTGTAATGTATGTTTTGGTGTTTCATGGTTGTGTGTTCTGTGCTTGTTGAGGAGGCTGGTTTTGAGTTTTTATTGTCGGTAGGTTTGTTTGCGATTGTGTGTGCTGTATGTTGTTTCTGATATTGTAAATCTGTTGTTTGATTTGTCTGTATTTTTGACGGCCTTTGTAATTTGCTGTGTGCGCTTCGTTACAGTTACAGCAATTTAGTGTTGTCTTTCTTATGAGGCTAAATGTTCCCCTCCACAGCCTACACACCACGGGAGGGATTTACAGTTGGCCGATACCTGTCCGTATCTTCAGGAGCTCTCACTGTCTGCTTCATCGGGATTAAGATCCACTTGAACCTGGGAGGGTCAGGTGCAAACATGACCTCTTCCTCTCTCTGCACTGGTGTGATAGATGCACTTTTAGAATGTTAAACGCACAAAATACACAAAAGTTTATAATATGATATTTAATACCCCTATCAGGGCTATGTCCATTTATATGGAACGTTCATCATTTCCATTGGAATGCACTTGCTAGAAAACAACAACATAAAACATGCACATGTCTAAAAGAATAATAGTGTAATAATAATTTAGTGCAAATGCATATTAATTGAAACACATCAAGTGTAATAACCAA